GATCATTCAAAAGCAGTTGCAGGAGTACATTGACAGACAACTGCCAGAAACTCAGGCAGATTCAGAAGAGGACGTGGAAGGAGGGATCTCATTGCTGATGTCAGATGGATCCTGGCTGAAAGCAGGGAGTAACACAGAGATGTTCACCTGTGTTTTATTGACTATGCAAAGGCGTTCAGCTGTGTGGATCGTAACAAATTGTGGATAACATTGCAAAGAATGGGAATTCCAGAACACTTAAATCGTGCTCATGAGGAGACGGTACATAGATCAAGAGGTAGTTGTTCAAACAGAACAAGGGGATACCGCATGGTTCGAAGTCAGGGAAGGTGTGCGTCAAGGTTGTATGCTGTGACCATACTTATTCAATCTGTATGCTGAGCGAATAATCCAAGAAGCTGGACTATATGAAGAACGGGGCATCAGGATTGAAGGAAGGCTCCTTAACAACCTGCATTATACAGATGATGTACAACCTTACTTGCCAAAAGTGAAGAGGACGTGAAGCACTTATTGATGAAGATCAAAGACCACAGCCTTCAGTATGGATTACACCTCAACGTAAAGAAAACAAAAATTCTCACAACTGGACCAATAAGCAACATCATGATAAACGAAGAAAAGATTGAAGGTGTCAAAGATTTCATTTTACTTGGATCCACAGTCAACGCCCATGGAGGCACCAGTCAAGAAATCAAACAAGGTATTGCATTGGGCAAATGTGCTGCAGAATACCTCTTTAAAGTGTAAATAAAAAGAAAAGATGCCACTTTGAGGACTAAGGTGTGCCTCAGCCAAGCCTTGGTATCTTCAGTTGCCTCATATGCATGCAACACTGGGCAGTGAATAAGGAAGTCTGAAGAAGTGACTCCTTTGAATTATGGTGTTGACGAAGAATATTGAATATACCACGAACTGCCAGAAGAATGAACAAATCTGTCTTGGAAGAAGTACAGCCAGAATGTGCCTTACAAGTGAGGGTGGCAAGACTTTGTCTTACTTTGGACATGTTATCAGGAGGAACCAGTTCCTGGAGAAAGACATAATGCTTGGTGAAGTAGAGGGTCAGCAGAAAAAGAGGAAGACCCCCAAGGAGATGGATTGACACATTAACTGCAGCAGTGGGCTTAAACATAGCAAGAATTGTGAGGATGGCAGGACAAGGCAGTGTTTCATTCTGTTGTACAAAAGGTCGCTGTGAGTCGGAACCAACTCAAAGGCACCAC